CCGCGGTGCAGCTTTCTCCCTCGTGACGGGCATTGTTGCAGGCACCTGGTCTGACGGCTTGGGCTCTACTTCCGGGGCGATCCTCCGCTCAGTCGCTCGACATTGCGCTGGCTCGTAGATCGCGGCAGGAATTGGCTCTCCGTCATCAGTGGACTCGGGCTTTAGCTCTGCACAGTGGGGAGATGGTGGGCTGGGCTCTGGGTCCGGAGTGGATCTGGCGAGATCATTCCAGCAGGAGGAGGTATTCGGGGCGAAGAAGAGCATCCATCCAGGGAACACAACGGAAAAAAAAGATACTGGGAAAAACGAGAAAACAAACGGAGGGGAAAACACGGAGGTAACTGTTTTTGGGTCAGGTCTTCTGTCACGTTACGCTGTTGAAGAAGCACAGGAGGCACGAGTAAACGAGAACTGTCTTTAATAAAGGAAACTCAGGAGATAATCCACAATAGGAGCTTGAGCCAACACATGTAGAGAACGAGTAGACCTGACAAACACAAACTGAACAGATTTGGACTTTTATACAGGGGATGACTGGGGAACACAGGTGACATCAATGGAACGTAATCAAACTAAACGAGGACCGGAGCATGACCAAACTGTGTCCCAAAATTGTGTCTGTCATTGCTATAGATAGAAATATGAGTCACTTTTACCAGCAAAATTTTATGCATGTTGGATTTCTTGGGTTGTTTTCGGCTAAACGCCAGCTTGCACTGATGTCTAATTTATTCAGTATTTGTTTTGTGTCCATGAGGTTCCACAATTAAAAACATAAATAAGTAAATAATATCAATTACCTTTCATTTGTAAAGTATTTAATTCACTGAATGCCAAAAAAAGATCAACATGGTCATTCAGTGTATTTTTTATTTTACACTCAATTTCCTGCATACACAATTATACACACAATTAGCGTTGTATAACATTTCTCATAGCATTATTTAAGATACCACTCACCCCTAGCCATTAGTTAGTTTGTTATTCATAGTGTATTTTTTGTTTACCCATTTTTCGCCCAAGCAGCACAATAAAGCTGATGAAGTGTGTTTATGTTTTAGACATTTTTTCATAAAAATGAGACTTGTGGTTAAATCCGTAGCCAGATTGTCTGCTTTGTCACAGTAATTAGCCTGCTCAGGCAGCATGGTTTCTAATGCTTGTACAAGCAAATTGTGAATTGTAGGCTGTTGAATGTGCTTTCAAACTCTTTACTTCTAATATAGTCAACATTCAGTCTTTTTTTACCTTCATTTATATAGCACTTTATACAATACAGATTGTGTCAAAGCAGCATTACAGTGTTAAACAGAAAAAAAGATGTGCTGATAATGCAAGAGGACAATAGAAAACAGTCAGTTTTTCAGTTAAAGTCAGTTCATTGTTGATTCAGTGATGTCAAGTCAACAATGTTGCCAGAAATTGTGTCCCCAACTAAGCAAGCCAAAAGCGACAATGGCAAGGAACCAAAACTCCATCGGTGACAGAAAAGGAGAAAAAAACCTTGAGAGAAACCAGGCTCAGTCAGGGGCTGTTTCTCCTCTGGACAGACGATTCAGTCTTTTGTTTTATTTAACTGTCAGCAGGGTGAATGGTACATAAAAATTGTGCTTTTATAGTAGCCAATGTAACTATAAGATCAACACATTACATTTACATTATGCTAAAAAGTCAGATGACCCATTTTACACTTTATTATAAAAGTTTGGCTCATGAATTTTAATTACATTCGCTCAGTTTTTCACCGATTACCTGGAAGGTGAGATCTTTATTGCCAGATTTATGTGGCTTGCACTGCAGAACTAGTCGAATAGCATATGCAAGGCCACATATGTGACTGTTCCTGTGGTTTTTACAGGTTTTTAGATGGGAAGTTATTGGACATGAATAAGGAGTTCCAGCCCTATCTAGGTCGCGGAGGACGCATTCTGGAGATCCGCACGCCAGATGTGGTGGAGAGCGTGAAGAAGGCGGTTCAGTCTGTTGGATACACCGAAGGAGCCCTGCTGGCCCTGTCCGTCATCATCATCATGTGCTGTATCCCAGCCATCCTCATCGTCATCATCACGTACCAACAGTGAGTGTCGCCACCATAGTCCAGTGTACCTTAAAGCTTATATGGGTTTGGAGCATTTATTATTAATATTTAGTAGTGTGCGATATTGATAAAAAAATTATATCTTGTTATTTTGGGGATTTTTCCGATCATGATCATTTGCGTGAGTGTGTTTTTGTGCAGGTACCTTGGCTGATTTAGACCTGTCATGGGTAAATAAATATAACACTAAAACTGCCAGTAGGTGGCAGCAAATCCCTGTCTTAATGAGTGACTCATTGAATCAGTCATTCAAATGATTTGTTCAAAACAGCTGATTCATTTAGAAACAAAGCAATCAACTGTCTTTATGAATGGATCAATGAATTATTGACTCAAATGATTTTTTTCCAAAACAGTGTTGCTTTGTGTCCTGCTCTGGCTTTGTTTGGAACTATTTTAGTGGGCAAAACAGAAAAAAAACAGACATAATTGTCTAAAATGTAAATCACTCAGTATTAACCTCTTGTTTGTTGAACTGTTGTATAAAATCAATACAACATTCGTGATCGCGCTCACACAGTGATATGCGGGAAGACAGCATTCTTGCTTGTGTGATATTGCTATACCTTACTCTGGCCTGGGCCATTTAAGGGAAGAGCTTATATAAGGGTTACAAATGTTATGTCATAGTGTTTCTTTCATGCCCTGTGTGGGATGAGGTTGAATCAGTGGAAAGACTACTCAGACTGCATATTTCTCCACTTAGCAACCAAATAAATATATGTAAAGTTCATGTTGAAACATCCTGTTAAGCAGGCAGCTTCCCTCCGCTGGGATTTCAGAGGAACATGCATTCTTTCTTTTCATATTGGTAACACCTGTCTTGTCTTGTGTTTATTCAGCATGAAAGATTATTAATTAAGGCCATGACAGGTAAATATGAGAAACTGTCTGTGGTTAAAGGCCGAGATTTACATGTGGTGCCAGCTAAGCCAGTACCATATGGCAAACGAGAAGATGTGTATATATATATATATATATTGCTGTTATTGATTCTGTATTAAGTCCATGTTGTTATGAGTCATCGTCTAATATACTTGTTTCTTTTCTTTTTACAATACACCAACTTCAGATTCAAAGAGTAAGTATCGTATTGAGACATGCATGTGTAATGATATATTGGTTATATATCTCAACCATTTCCCTCTCTCAAGCATTATTTAATTCAGTGGTTCTCAGATGGTGTGGCTTCAAGGCCCAGATTTTACATTGGTTATCAAATAGCAACCCAACACTACTTAAATAGCTTGTCGTACAAAAGTTAATGATACAACAATGAAAATCAACAATAGTGATATTAACCTTAAAATATAATAATTGACTTGTTTTATAATTTGAGTGTTTGATAAAAGTCTCTTGAATTTTAATGTTTATGCTCTGAACAGCCAATAATTTACAGCACAAAATACATTGTCAGCACTAATGATGTCTTTCCTCGTTGGTAGAATCTTCTTGTATTTTTTGTATACTTTTGTTTGTTTACCTGTCCATGTTGGCATATTCCGAAATATGACTAGCTTCTATCAAGTGACAGATACATTTGAGCCATTTGATTTGACATGCAACCATTGGCGTCAACAACAACAAATATGAGAACAGTTTCCCCCTTTTAGAAATGCCTCTTTATTGTGCACTTGTAACTATGAAAGATGATATGGTTACTTGGATTTCATTATTATTCCATTTTATTCATAGCATTTTTTCTCGCTGTCTGCGACCCACCAGTTGAGAACCACTGATCTAATTTGTTGTATCTGAGAAACTCCAAAATAGCTAAATGTCCAGGGAAAGATAAAGACTTGTTGATTTCCCAGGACCAGAACAAAAGTGCTTAGAACATAACTTATGTAAAGAATAGCTTTTGTTCTCTAAGCTGTCAGATCCCCCAAGGATATAAAGCTGATTCCTACATCCTTGTAAAATCGCACTTTGAAAGAAAAGATCAAAACCGAGTTATTCAAAAACATTAGAAGCGTTTCTTTAAGGACAGCATGCTATAAAATTACAAACTCAAACCACTTCACAGGCACTCATTACATAAACATAACCATCAAACTCTCAACTCTTACCTTACTTAGTATGATGGTTACTTGGATTTCATTATTATTCCATTTTATTTATAGCATTTTTTTCTCGCTGTCTGCGACCCACCAGTTGAGAACCACTGATCTAATTTGTTGTATCTGAGAAACTCCAAAATAACTAAATGTCCAGGGAAAGATAAAGACTTGTTGATTTCCCAGGACCAGAACAAAAGTGCTTAGAACATAACTTATGTAAAGAATAGCTTTTGTTCTCTAAGCTGTCAGATCCCCCAAGGATATAAAGCTGATTCCTACATCCTTGTAAAATCGCACTTTGAAAGAAAAGATCAAAACCGAGTTATTCAAAAACATTAGAAGCGTTTCTTTAAGGACAGCATGCTATAAAATTACAAACTCAAACCACTTCACAGGCACTCATTACATAAACATAACCATCAAACTCTCAACTCTTACCTTACTTAGTATGCTATATATAAAAGAAATTAAATATATGCAATAAAATAACTTATATTTTTCAAAATTCAGTTTCAGTAAAATTTGGTTTTTGATCTATGAGTGCATTTATAATTTATGAATCTTTCATAATATAAGATATTGCTTTTATTTTGCTCCACTTGTTGACTTCATCATCTAAAGACGGCAGGCAGAGTGCGCAAAAGCAGCCAGGATCCAAATGGCGCTACCTACTGGCAAATCCGGAGGTGCTGCCACCAACAATCTGTATGAAGAACTCGGCGACAGCACCATGTAAGTTTTATATATTCTGCACTTTATACTGTACTTGACATTGTCTTCAAGCACTGACTGATGCAGAATATTAGTACGTATTGGGTTTTACAAGTTACAGTTACTTGAAGTAAAATTGCATAAGTTTATTAATGTCTGAACATGAATTAAGTCTATATTTCTAACCGCATTGGCATTTTTTCTTCTTTGTTTAAATCTTAAATCGAACAACATTTTGTAAGTAGTATGACCACAGCAAGAAGTGTGTGGAAAATTAATTCTAAGTGGTTCTAGGTGTAGTATTTCTGTTAATAAGCAGATATGATTTAACTTAACCTGATTTTATTTTATTTAAAAAAATATTTGCTTAGCAAAATTAGGGCTTCTATTCATGGTGTTAAAATTCCACCCAATGACAATAACCTCCTTTTGTGACAGTCCTTTCCATTTATTCTTGTACCTGTGTCAGGTTTTTTGACACATTAGGGGTAATGCAAAATTACAGGCCTTCCCTAAAAAGATTGCAAGTTTGATCCCAGGTTGAGGTGATTACCAAACTCTTTTGTGACAATGCACAGCTTCCCGCCCTGTTCAGTGTCTCCATGGTCATCATTTCATAGCATGAAAAAATGTTTGGAGTATCAAAACTCCACTATTATCAGGATTTGATCTAATGATCATCTAACCCGAACATCTAATCCACTATTTGTGAACCCCCATGACATATAGTAGCCATGACAATTAACAAGTTTTTTGTTTAAATTTAAATTGCAACATTGCCAAGATACAACCTGAATTTCTATGTGGCTCATATTCAAATTGTGTGTTACATCCCAATGGATTTGGTATATCAAAAAGTGTTTTGTTGTTGTTTTTTGCAAACTGTTTTGACCCCAAAACTGTCCTGATAGAAGACAATTCATCTTCTATGAATCTGCCAAATTTCATTACGTTTTACCATACAATTCTAGGGCCTTCCATATACTCCCAGTGGGGAGGAAGGATAAATAAATAAATAAATAAATTCCTAGACTGCTTTGGTGCATAGTACCTAATTAGTTTATGTGAGTATTTTCTACCCTCTTCCCGACCCTTAAAATTAAACTAGCGTATTTTCCACTGCAATTTTGATCTTATTATGATGATCATTACCAACAGGAATGTTTTTTTTTTGTTTTTTTTTTAATAAAATAAAATAATAGTGTCTGCCCTACTTCTATCGTCCTAATCATGACTGAACAGGCCAAGTTTTTCAACATTTAAGTTTAAATGTGGACAGTAATATGGACAAGTTTATTGTGCTAATGGTTGTGATTATACATCTTAATAAAAAAAAATCAAGTAAAGTTTTTCATTATTAGACCCCTTAGACTGATTTCTCTGGAATGGTTGTGTCTAATGTTAGGACAGGCACTTACACATTAACCTTTATTGCACTTATCTGCTTTTTTATACATCTTGCCAATTTCACTCATAATTTGTCTTTTTCTCCTGTCTCTCTTTCTCATTTCTTGGATATCAGATCCAAGTAAGTAGGCAGTCAACTGTGTATCATCTAGTAGACAACTACCCAAGTAATTTCAAGTAGACCGTATACTGTAAGTAAGGTATAGTTGTATTTGTGATGGATTCTCAGAAAGATGTTAAATATCCTTTCCTTCCAATTGCCTAGCACTGTTATCAGTTGCCTTGCTCTTGATCAGTATTGATATTAGCTAGGAACTGTGTTAGCAGCGCTCAGTGAAAACGTCTTGTTTTGGGTGTTTGTCTTGGATTTGGTTAGCTCTTTGTTCTTAGTACAGTAGTCAATCCAAGCAGGTGCTATTTGTAGTTGGCTTCCCTCCTACTTCCCTGTCGATCTTGCTTTTCACATCCTCTGTTAAGTCGATCTTTGTCTCTTTTTGCGGTTATGCTGAAAGCAGGACTAAGATGTGTGTTCTGAAGGACGGCGATCGTCAGCGTCTCATTAGTTCATTTGCCTCCCGTGCCATCACTGCTCACAAGCTGTCCACTGCTAATGGAGTCCTGCTCAACAACTTGCCTAAGTCGGAAAGCAACATTACCTTTCTTTCAGACGAGAACCCTCTTACTACAACCAACCCTCTGTACCATGATGACGGCACCCTCAGCAGCCCTGAGCACCAAAATCAGAGGTATCACCTGGGCACATATTCACCCAATTTGAGAGGTCTAAGAAGGTCCATCCTGCGCTTCCCATCTGCAGGCTCAGGACACGCTTGGACTTTACCCTCTAGGTTACACAAGTGGGAGAACAATGATGCCCTACGGACTAGGATGATGGTGATGGATCCAGATCAGTGGGAGCTGCAGCTGCTGAAGTCCGACCTTAAGGACAGTAAGGAGATGATTGATGGGTTTGATGGGCTTGTGGACGAAGATCCAGAGCCCAAATTGACAGTAAAAGAGCAGGCACGGCAGTTTGAGCAGCAGGCCTTTCAGGACTCTCGTGGGTCACTCTCTTCTGAAATTATTCTCTCTGTTTTCGAGACGTCTTCAGTCATGGGATATAACAGCAGACCCCCAGCAATAATAATTACCCAGAGTGACGGAACACCTCCACCCAGTCACAAGCCCCGCCAAAGATTGTCCCCAAACCACAAGTGTCTGTTGAACCAGAGGCTGGTGTGTCAGAGGCGGAGCCTGTACAAGAAATATCATCACCAGAACCCAATCCAAACATGAACTCACTAGTGGAGGAGCTGGAGAAACGCTTTCCTTCTCAGTCCACTATCCTGTGACACTCTCTTTGTCCATGTTGCTTTTAGAGGCGGTTCACACAGGATGCATTCTAGCATTACAGAATTTTGCCAGAGCGCAGCAGAACTAACAATAGACAAGGCATTCCCGTTGCTCAAACAGTAGAGCAGGGGTGTCAAACTCAATTCCTGGAGGGCCGGAGCCCTGCAGAGTTTTGTTCCAACCCTGCTCCAGCACACGTACCATGTAGTTTTTAAATAAACCTGAAGGACTTGATTAGTTGGATCAGGTGTGTAGGGTTGAATCTAATAGGGTTGAATCTAAACTCTGCAGTGCTCCGGCCCTCCAGGAATTGAGTTTGACACCCCTGCAGTAGAGTATGGCGCTAGCAACACCAGCACAAGAATGTGTCCTGTGTGAACGGCCCCTTAGACTATCAATACATTTTTGTCATCTTTTTGTCTCATCATTGTGTTTTGTTTTACTGTGTAACAAAATCAAGTGTTTTGTATTTTTAATCAGTTTTGCAAGAGTGTTTTATTATTTAGTTGAGTTAAACCATTCATACAGGCATTTTATTTTATTCCTTCAAACTCTTTTAGTACACAAAACACTTACTTACTCATAGAAATTATCCTATTCATATGCCCTAATGTTGGGCTGTATGTTACAGTCACTGGATGGGATAAATGTCCTCTATAAAGCTTTTCTCTGAGGTACACTGCACGCGCTCACCTCTCATTTTTCTTTCTTTTCTTATTTCTCACTTTTTTGTTAATTGTGTTAGCATAGCCTCTGTGACCACATTTACACTGTCTACCAGTTTTCATCAATATCTGGCACAGGACATTTTTTAATTCAGACTGAATTAAAAAATGGATACATATCAAAATATCAGATCTGTGCATTAGGTCTCACAGCCTTTGTGACACTAGATGCATGGAGAGTGCCATGTAGCTCAAATACAGTCAAGCCATTGCCTTGATTTTACATGAAAGAGGGTTGTGAGGAAATACTTTTTTTAATGCATAAGGCAAAACGCTGGACATCAAAAAGTGTTGGTCTTCATTGTATGAACCCTGTATCACTACGATCAATTTATTTTTTAAGTACAGCTGTTATAGGTATTTTGTCTCTCTCAGTGAAAGCATTCACTTTGAACTGTTTGTGCTAGATATGCAAATTGTCTGTGCTAGAAAGGACTAGAAAAGCACTGAAGAGAAACAAGTTTGTTCTAATGTTAAATGGCTCTATGGTACGTGACTGTGCACACTTTAGGAGGTTTGAGATGCAACTGAGTCGTCAAGTTGCTTGTAATTACCGGCTAAATCGAGAGAGCTTGTCTGACTGGCAACATGTCCTCCATTTACTCTTTTAAACAGAAACACTGCATTCGATTCAGCGAATGTCCTCCTAATCTCGGCTTTAATTGTTATGATACTTATGGATGGATACTGCACCATTACATCTGATTATTGTCGACTCGCAGCAGTACACATCTATACCATATTGTTTTTGTGCTGTAGCTTATTCAAAAGTGTCTCAATGACCTTTTGAAAATTGATCATGTTCTGTTTCTGTAATGATTGCACCTTCTATTTACAGTGGGCAGCACTGTATTAACATAACTCCGATATTATGGTTAGGGTTTGTTTTAAATCTCTTAACCCTATTAAAGTTCTGCAATAAATTCAGCCCCTTAATACAGACTCCATTCAATCTTTGTTTTGTAGATCACCTCAGTGTTATGTGTGCTATATATTTTGGGCTTTATTAAATTTCTATAAAAAGAAATTTAAGAGTGAAGACAAAAAAATCTCCCATTGATTTACAATGAATGTGCAGGGTTCACAAATCATGTCATTGCAGTATTTGCCATTTGAATTGCCATTTGAATTACTATTCGGTCTTTACAATAAATTTTGGAGTTACGCACTTTTGTGATTTTTCTTTACTTTTTAATATATATATATATATATTAAACCATTAAGAGCTTCTTTTGTGAAGGTGATGAGTTGTGTTAATGCTCAAGTGTGTCACTAAAACCTATGAATATTATTTGTTTATAATTATTTGTAATATTAATGATTAATACATGACTTTATGTATATGTATTTCTATGTTTGAAATCTGAATTTTTAAAGGGCCTTTTTTTTTTTAGAAATTAATTAATAATTAATAGACATAAAAAGACATAATTAAATGATGTTGAAAACAATGGTAGCATTTTTGCTTTCGTAATACCTTCCTTTATATGTTGTCAGTGGTGGTATTGGTTGCCATTCATTTTAACTAACATAAACTTCACGTACAATAGAGCATGCTAGCTAATGGTAAATTATTTTTAATCCTATAATTATTTTGTGTGACCTTGAAGGAATTGAGAAAGATGATCAAATAATTAATATAGCACAGTAGGTTTAATTTAGCTTTGGCAAGTTTCCTTTTTGGGGAAAAAAGATGGAAATGCCACTGCAGTTGTACCTTGACCTTGTTATAACTATATAACATAATTAGCATTTCATTATATATTTTAATTATAATTACATATCATGTAATATATCATATTTCATTCATGGACAGACACATCATTACACCTGCAAACACACTCACATAGAGAGAGAAAAGTCAACAAAATAAAAGTCCCTTGAAAGTTGCATATTATCGTTAGGAGATACATCTTCATTTGAATCACTCATTATGCCCACATCAGGGAAGAATTGCTGTAATTTGCTCTTGCTGATCTGCTTCCTGGAGAGAATTTTAATTTGCCACACTCAGTGAAATGGTCCTGCCACTTAGGAAATGCTGGCCCGTCTCCATATAATCTCTGTATACCCCTAACACATACCTGATAAACTGTAATCAAACCTTGTCAAAGGTTGTCTTTGCGTGCCAAGCATTGTCACACATGATAATGTCTAATGTCATTAGAGGCTTGAGGGTGTTAACGTTCATCTGAGTGATAAACAAACAGTGTGCCACTTGCCCTTGCCGCGAAACAGTGTCTAGTTTTTGTCCTCTATGGGTATGTCATTGTCTTAGTGTCTGCTTTGAATCAGTGGTGTTAACACAGATTCATTATGCGATGAGGCCTTTGAGCTTCACTGCCATTTAAGCCTGTGTTATACTTTCCGCATCCGCGAGTCCACTAGGGTCCGCTATGGTATGCGTGATGTAAAAATCGTCATCGGAGAGTGTGTGCGAAGGCTCTGCGTGGACTTCCGCGTGCCTCCCATTTTTTGTGACCGCACGTACTTGTCCTGTAGTACATGTAGGCTACTGCGCATGCGCAGGCTGTGTGAAGAAGCCCGTTGCTATTCGAACCTGTACAATCCGTCGATAAAACAATATAAAGATGTGCAATAACTCTGGCCAATTGTTTGTTCACATGTTTGTTTATTGTTCAAGCCGATCTACTACGCATATATGGAACACGTCCACGGAGCGGACCATCAGCGTATGCTTTCGGTAGTATAAATACAAGTAGTCCGCGTCCGCGCTGTCCGTGTACGCGTCCGGATTGCTCATGCGGAAAGTATAACACAGGCTTTAGTCCTCACCACGGACCCCTAGACTAATGTCCTCTAAACTAAAATCCCATAATTAATAATAATAACCATAAATAAAAAAAATTATAAATAAAGGAATAATTTGCCCAAAAAGAAATGAAAAAACATGCTGAAAATGTACTCACCATCCAGTATGTAATTGAGTTTGTTTCTTCATTGGAAGCGATTTGGAGAAATTTACCTTTATACCAATGTTTACCAATGGATCCTCTGCAGTGAATGGGTGCCGTCAGAATGAGAGTCCAAACAGCTGATAAAAACATCACAATAATCCAATTAACATATTGTGAAGACAAAAGCTGCGTGTCCTTTATCCATAATATTGTTTTCTCCAGTGAAAAAGTAATCTCGTCTGAATCAGGAGAGAAATATGCAAAGATCAAGCACCATTTACAAGCAAAAACAGTTCTAAACAAATACGTTTTGTGGATTATTGTGATGTTTTTATCAGCTGTTTGCACTCTCATTCTGACGGCACCCATTCACTGCAGAGGATCCATTGGTGAGCAAGTTTTTGGGTGAATTATACTCACAGAAAGTTTTGTTTCCCATATCAGACTACTGTATATCTGCATCTTTATCAACACACACACACGCTCAGTTCTTCACAGTTCTACATTATTTGTCAGAGTTTGTGGCAACCTTGCAAAAACCTAATAGACATTGTCTTCAAAACGTCATCTCAAGGAAACGCTGTCTCATCTCATGCTTTTAAATCTGCTAAACATTTAAAGACTTTGTCACATCTGACAGTCCAGTTTGAGATAAAGAAATAAAACACTTTCTGCATATGAAATAGCAAGGTTTTATTGTAATGATCTTACTTTATTTCCGTGCTGTTATCTCTTCACAGGAGAGGCTACGGGCATCAGGAGGTATGTATTTTTATTCTTTGGAATTGCATTGTTTGAATGATGTCTCATCTTGAGATAGTTTTATTGGCAATCATTTTTATCAGTTGATGATATTTGATAGGGAAAGTGATGAGAAAGGAAATAAGTATTTGTCAAGATCCCATTTTTAAAATTGCTGAAGGCTAGATCTGTCAGTTTGGAGATTGACTTGCTGATAACATTTCTCAAATATTTTTGTTCTTAGGAAGTTAGATTTTATGAGTTCCAAAGTGTTTAAATAAAGCAATAAGCACAGCACTCTGAGTGGCTTATTGCTTTTATAAAACAGTAGCAACAGCAATATGATCAATAAATAGTTTCATTAAAATACAGTTCATTTTAAACGGCTCTCTGGAATCCTTGATTCTAATTGGTCAATCATAGAATACTGTGGTTAAGTATTTTTTATATTGCCATTAAAATATATAATTAACAGTTGTTCCATGTTTTTTGCATAGCTGTGAAACAGTATTTAATGTCAATTTATTTATTTGCTAATCAGGTGTAATTTGTGCAGTCAGATAATTACCACTAAATCAACCCCTTTAGAGTAATACAAGGCAGTATTTTGTGACAATGACTGTACAAGCAACATAGTAACTTGCCACATTATAGAATGTGCTCACAGCTATGCATTTATTTGAAACTTTGCTTCAAAGCAGCTTATCTAATTAAAATTTGGATTAAGAACTATCCATTAGTAAACTAAAACTTTTGAATGCTCTACGATAGAATTAAAATTTTTTTTTTTATGGAAAAACATTCATATTAGATTAAAAAAATTCTTCTCTGAAAACTCTGTACTATACAGTGGGGTCCTAAAGTCTGACAACACTAGTTTGCAGTTTTTCTAACTGACTAGCTTTTTTCCACACTAATTGATTTATCAGTGTTAACTTGCTTGAAAAGCTGGATTAAAAATGAACAAGATTTATCAGAATGTGTTCGCTGAAATTAAATCTGATCTTTTGTTCAAAGATGGTCTCAATTGTTTCTTTGATGCATTTTTCAAAGCCCTAAAACTTTATTTCCAGGTTTAACTTCAGATTTTATTTTCAGTTGCTGATTTTCAGTGTAATCACAGACTTGTGGATCCAACTGTATTTATTTTATATCTTCTATTATTCACTTTCACATAGATTAAAACATTTTATATTCCTCTTTTTTTCTCTTTGTTTCTGCACTGTTTCTCTGCTGAATGCTGTGCAGCAACAGCAGTTGCTTCGGCCCTCTCTCTTGAGACCAGAGGTAGAGAATCTCAACTTTTATACTCGCAGCAACTTTCTTCTTTTGAGCTGAACATGCTGTAGTACATATTTTAATGAACATGAATGTTTAGGCACAATACTATTTTTTTTTATGGCCACATAGCTTTGAAATGAATAAATACAGAAATTTATTTCCCCCCCCCTGAAATGGGCAGTACTTTCATTTGATTTCCCCAAGGATTTTGCCTAAAACAGTGCGCTCTTTGCATTATAACTCTTTGTTCTGCTCACAGGAACTCTCTATGGAGTCTGGTATCGACCCGGGACAGGACTATTATACACAGGATTACTATAATTATGACCATGGGTGAGTGTGCATTCATTGGTCGAAATGTGCAGCTGGCCCAAATCAAATTGGTCAGATATGTGTTGGACCTGCTGCATTTAATCATTTTGTAAGATTTCTAGGACTATTTTATGTGGTTTTCAGATGATGAATCTTGTCATTTTTCTCTAAACATTGTGGGCCACCTGTTTGTCTCTTTTTGAATGTAATAGCAGTAATTATTTACTGATGCTTGTGCAAGGTGAGCTGTCCATATGGGACCCAATTGGCAGGAAAAAAATAGAAATAGGTATTATAAATCAATGGACCCCTGAGGGAAGTGGTGGTAATTGCAGACTATCAAAGCTATTTGAGCAAAACTGAATGCTGGCCAAGTTTTCTTACTGTCTTATACAGTAAGTCATACAAATGTGATCAGTAGCAGTCCCCTGCTGTATACCACATTGGTCTTCAGTGTATCCATCTATTCTCAATAAATCCAAATGAAAACCTCCATGGCTACAAGCTAGTGAGGATCAATATAATCAGCCTGTTTCCTGTTAAATTGGCCGCCTAAGTTGCATTTGGATTCAGACAGCCTGCTGCTCCCCAAGAATACTCAAAGTTCTTAATGAAGGTCTGTTTTGACCTTGTCTTGACCACAGTGTTATGAAGAGGTTCTGTTGCTTAATCTTACTTATTGGATTTGCCTTTTATTTCTCTGTCCCAGAACATTCATAAAGTTTTAGTTTTGATTTAGGGGACAGTAGGGACAAAGTTTTTGCTCATTTATTCATAAATGTTTGCATTGGTATGTGTGTGGGTGTGTTTGAGGTATATGCAATAATCCTGTATACTTGTCTTTTAGCTATGACTTGCCTCAGTATGGGAGTCGTCGGAAGTTGATCTCTCCAGCAGGGATGTATGATGAATATGGAGAGGTGATCATGGAAGATGACGGCAGCTACTACTACAGTCCACACGAATCCGAGGGAGAGGTATCACATTTTAATTATTTCTGTTTTCTTAGTTTAACCCAATACAACATGCAGTATTTTTTAATAAAGTCAGTTTTATATCTAGAGCAAGGATGGGCAATTCCGGTCCTGGAGGGTTCAGGATTCTCTTTCCTGCAGAGTTTTGCTCCATCCATAACTGGAAATTACAGGTAGGTGTGTTTGATTGTGGATGAAGCTAAACTCTGCAGGACAGTAGCCCTCCAGGACCAAAACCTGCCAATCCCTGATTTATGTCATCATTCCCTCTTCTATCATGTTTTGATTTTTACTGTCACCACCCATGTAATGATATATGATGCAAAATGTCCAGTAATCATTGACTTCACTTTGAAAGGTCAGCAGCCAATGGGGTTAAAGTTAAAATTGTTTGAACTTCAACCATCATGTTAATGCATTTGCATTTAACATGGTACTGGGGGTAAGGTTGTACCATGAGTGACACTTCTCTCAATGCATTGGGGAATGCTGACATGAGTCATGTGAAGTCACAAAGATGATGGGTGATCTGAATTGTTGATTAGATATTCTGAATGATAAAAATCCTGGACTAATATCAATGTAATAGGTTGCGAGGCAAGGCAGAAGGCCAGCTCCCCCTCCAGGCAAGGCTCCACCACGAAGGCCCCCTAGACTAGCTTTTGGAGACCAACCTCCAAGGCTTGAGCAACACCTGCCTGGACCAGTTGAAGGCATTACACACCCTTACAGCTCAAAGGCTGAAACTACACTCAAAGCATCTATAAAACTTGGCCAAATGTTCGACAAAAGATCTGGCCCAGTTCCAGCTCCATTCCACCTTCCATGGAAGAACAACAGAATATTTCCAATTGTAGTTCCTGAGGAGAAAGGAGGAAGTACTGATGACCCCAAAGCAATCACGATGCAACATTCAAACAGTGTGGAGAGTGGCATGGTCATTGATGGCAGCTATTTCCAGACTAAAGAAGCCATGCCTTCAGCAAAGACAAGACTTGGCAAAGTTTTAAGTCAGATGAACATCTTTAAAACATTGCAGACTCAGAAGAACTCTCTGAGTAGCATTAGTGGGACTGTAGATCATGGAGGTAATAGAAGTGTCCCAGTCTCTTGGTCACTGAGTGAGTCAGAGAGGGAATCACAGAGAATCCCTGGTGATAGTGTGGAAAGTCAGCAAGAAAGAGGTAGGAGCAGGGAAGACATCGTTCAACAGTCTTACACTGGAAGTTCCATGTCATTCACTCCTTATCATACATACAGACTCCAAGAGGGCACACATATGAGTAGTTTAGACTCTGATGATGATCAAGAACAGAGTCCTGTTGATTCAGACAGGGAGAGCCAAACAAAAACTCAGCTAGATGACACTGAAACAGAGTCAAAGACAGAATCAGATTCAGAACAAGACACGGAGACTGAGAAAGAAACCGAGACAGAACAAGAGTCAGACACCGAGAGAACATCGGAGACAGAGAACGAGTCAAGCTCAGAGGAAGGTAGCAGTGGAAAAGAAAGTGTCAACTCGGAGGATAGTGGAACAGTATCATCTGTCAGATCTTCTCGGTCCAGACACAGCAGCACAGCATCCCAGAAATCAGTAACCTCCACCTACAAGAGAAGGAGCAGCAGATCATCTTCAGAACCTGCAACTACATCCACCCACATGAAAGCATTAGAAGAGACCATCCTGAAGGAGGATGAGGACAATCAGGAAGAAAATGGGCAGATGGGAGAAGGCCGAAGTAAGGATCCAAGCTCTAGGTCTAAAAGCAGTAATTCTCTGGAGAGTAGACGTGATTTGAATTCCCACAGCATGAGCAGATTCTCTATGACAAGCAGTAGTGTAACTAAGGCTTTAGAGATCGACAAACTCTCTCCTATAGATGAGAATGAAGAAAGGGAAATGTCTCCAGAGAGAGGTGGTAGCCCGGGTGATAGTTCAAGCTCTTCGGCTGGAGCAAGAAACCTTGAAGTAGACGGGGAGGATGAGGAGTCTAATTCAGACGCAATTGAGACCGTCGGTGCCTCCTGAGTTATATTCCGATATGTTCAGTAAGACTGGCCATTGCCGTAATTTCTTGTGTTGAACTTTTTATTGGCCTTTTGAATGTCTTCATCTGGTTGGAGTTCTTCTTGTTTTCTTCTCGCTGAGCACAATTGGCATTTCTCCTTAACCTTTGCTGAATAACATGCATGCTATTTCATTGGTGGTCTTACCTTTAGAGGTCACCCTTCAAAAGTTTAGGTCAGCAATTAATGATCAGATCAAAATTAGGTTAGTTTGTGTTGTTTTCAAAAAATCCTGTAATCCAATGGCATTTGGTCCATGCGCACATTACTTTTAATGAGCTCATGAAGGGACATTAAGTGTGTGTTTGGTTGTTTTGCTTTTTAATGTCAAGCAGTGGTGGTCCGGGAGGGAATCTTCTGTATTCATCAAACCTGCTTTATTTATAGTATTCTCTTGAAATTATCTTGATAATTAACACGTTATAATAATCTTTCTGATAACCAAACCAATATTTGTCAATATATGAAAAAATGGAACAAATCACGCAGTGTCATCTACAAACATTTATGAATGAATAGAGAGCCCCGCCATACAAATAGCAAAACACAAATCTTTTTACATTATATGCATCTTTTATGCACACTATTAAGAAATCTGTAAAAGCAACAGTTAATTTCATATATTTAGTTGTGCATTTTTGAGAAGACTTTCCTCCTCGGACAGAACACCACTGTTGCGTGCTGTTTAAAATGAAAGTCTGTTATTAAGTAGTCATCTTACACTTGTTTTCTTTTTTCAGTATGGTAGAAAAAAGAGGATCAAGCTTATTGTAGACCGTGAATACGAGACCAGTTCAACTGGAGAAGAAAGTGCACCTGAATCACACAGGAACCGCCTATCTAATGTGAACAGCCACAGCAACATTAATGGTAGCATATACTTGGCTCAGAACGGCTCAATAATCCGGACACGACGGGTTGTGCACACCAACAACATCAAGCTCAACTCTCCAGTACGACTGGGAAAGCACTTTAAGAAACTGGATAAACTTGCTGTTACACATGAAGAGCGAATTCCTTTAAACAGCCCCGTAATCACAGGCGCCTCAGTAGGTGAACAGAACCTCACAACCAGGCCTTCCAGTGGGTCCCTGGCCTCCAGCACTACAGGCCCAGACAGTATAGCTTCAAAATCAAACGTGGCGAAAGGAGGGGGTGAAAGAATACAAAATGGTGATGAACAAGAGACCACAGTGGACAATCAGGAAATGAGGGACCCTTTAGGATCACATAGTGACCGCACCCAGTCAGATGAGGAGGAGCTCTGGATGGGGCCTTGGAATAACCTGCACATACCAATGACAAAACTGTGACTTCTGACATGCAGATGCTCTATTGTCTTAAAGAATAATGAAATTGCACTTTCATTCAGTATTATATTTGCTTTTTCGTGGCCCTAAACAATGAGCTTCTCAATGATTGTTGCATTCATAAGTACCTTATAAATCAAACACATGTTTCTGGCCCATTGATTGGTGCTCATCCTTTTTTTTTGGAATTTGTTAAAGATGTATTGTATGCTTTCATAAATATTTTTCGTGCTTTTTATAGTTTAAAAGGCTAAATCAAGTGTCTGCTGAAGTGTATTTTTGGTAAATGGGTCATCAATGAAAATAATTGTGATGAATCTAATGTGGACTTATGCACCATACATTTGCTTAATGCCATAGTCATTTGAATGGACTTGCACCAGAGTTGAAAGTGCAATATTTTTGTGCTTTTTTATACCAAGTTATATCAAAACAGAATTATTCAGTATGTGGACACATTCTGTTACAGATACTTGCCAAACTGAATTGAACAACTTTTATATCAAATTTGGCTGGGAAATTACTCCCAAAAGATCATTTAAAGTCATTGTTGTTGTGTAAAGCATCAAACAGACATTACAAAAAGTAGCTTCAGCAAGAAATATTTTGTTTGATAAAATTGATTACATATACTCTTGGACCATGAGGGTGAGTAAATGATGGCACAATTGTCATTTTTGGGTGGGTGAACTCTTTAATTAAATAATCGATGCAGTTTTAATTGTGGTGGGCAAAACATATAATGTAATGCAGTGCAATGTTGATTGATGCACACATACATTTCTCAGTAGCCTGTTGTATCATATTTGATATATTTTTTACATGAAAAAAAAGAAAGAAAAACTGTATGGACAATCAAGTCGCTTCAGTCCAGTAAATGTTAATCTTGAAGTATTAATAACAATATAGAAGTTATTCTTACATTTACTTTATAAAAAATATCATTAGATTTCACAGAAAAAACACGTATGTACCAAGACCTGAGGGTGGACGTTTCTAGAATTATACAAACAGGCCTTTTACTTGCTAAAAAAAAAAGTCTCAACAGATGACAGAAGGCATGTAGCAGATTATGTTATTAATTTTATTATTATTACTATGGAAATATGAAATTATTTCTTTAATGAAATGATACTCTAAATAATAAACTAAAACTGCCAGTAGGTTGTGGTAAATGTCTTAATGATTGTCATCGAGTCATTTATTCGTTCATTTGATTCGTTCAAATGGCTGATTCATTCAGGAGTGAAGTAAATGGTTCTTTATGAATGATTCATCATTAGGCTTGTTCGACTTGAAGCGGATCATCACCACCAGATCGATCTGCGATCAAAGTACCGCGAGAGCGATTAGAGAGCAGACGGCTCCTTATGCTTTTGAATCGCTCTCGCGGTACTTTGATGTCATACACCGATCGTTCTATGTGGATGAATCTGATGATGTAAACTTATTTTGTCAATAATCTTCAATCAGAGCAGATCTGACTACCTACATCAAGAACACTGATAGTAAGAAGAAAGTATTACAAGACAATATTTCATCTGAGCAAGTAGCGCATCTGCTGCCAAAATAGCCAGACCATATTACATGATATGTAAAATCTGGTTTGATGTACTAGCAGTATAATCCTCTATAATGGAAAACTAGAAATGAAAAATCGTCCATGTGTCTATGATAAAACTCTGATAAGAATTAACCAATACCCAAAGTCAGTTCACTTGCTGGTCATCTTGGCAAAATTACACACTTCATCTTTAATGGCAGAAGTAGAGTAAGGCTTGACTACATCTATACTGATTCAATCCAAGGCATTTTAGTAGTCAGGATATTACATAAACATTGGATTTGCACATCTGCCAAACTACATTTTAGTGTTGTTGTTGTGCCAGGCTGGTCAGACCGTTCAAACAAACAGATTGCGTTTCTGTTTAGTGCTGCTAGCTAGGGGCACAGAAATTACACACTTCACCTTTAAAGGCAGAAGCAGAGAAACACCAAAACTTGAATGCACAGGGGTCACGAGAGAGGGAGACAAAGACTCCCATGAACACACTTGACTTCCATCCCTGAAATTGCCTCTGCTACCACTGTGACCTTAACCTCTCACTCTTCAATTTCCTGTCAAATTAGTTTCATCAGATGGTGCCTTAAAAACAACCCAGATCCCCTGGCTATCATAATCCATCACGGAGTGTCGAAGAAAGATAAAACGAGATTACTGAGCGTGTAGCCTTAAAATGAATTAACTGGTTATTGAAAATTGCTCCTTCTCGATAAATCCATTGGTTTCATGTTTATTTGAAAATAGATGCATGTTTGAGTATTTTGTGATCTAAAACACGCCTCAAAAATGAACATAATTTCCTCACTCTTGTCGTTTCAGTAGACTGTATCTCTTCCGTTGAAACATGAGGTAATTAACAAAAAAAATGTTGACTGATGAAAAGTCTTTCTGTGAAAGTGAACGGTGATGAACGCTGTCGAGCTTCAAAAATGACAACACAGGTCACAATAAAAGTAGCCCATGTGACTCGTGCGATGCATTTACAATGTTTTCTGAAGTAATGTGTGAGAAACAGAAGATTTAAATCAGTGGTCGCCAACCCGTCGATCGCGATCGACTGGTAGGTTGCAGCAAAAGGGTTTTCCACTAGGTGGCACGAGACTCTTATATTTGTGCTATTTAAACTTCTGACACTGATAGGCTATAGGCCTATAACTTCTAAATATGGCTTAGTAATTTTAAATAATTGTCTTTGATTTAAGAAACATGTCTGTTCCTGTCAGTGAACTAGCTCACTTCAGCTGGCACCCTTACATAACGTCTTATGCCTGAAAATTCATCAGCCTAGAAGTTATGAATAGAGATACAAACCTCTTTAAAAGATGTTTTCTTTCTCTTCCATTAAACAGCCCTTGTGGGACACACTAACGTCTGAATCATAATATTAAAATTGCCAAGAGCAAGAAAAAACACGATTATCTTGGGCTTGGCAAAGTAATTACACTTTAAACGATTATCCTTGCCTGATGAGCGCATGCTAATAACGTCCTGAGCTTTTTGATCTCCAGATCACTATACCAGCAGTGCATTATTTCAAACAAACATCCAAAAAGTAAATAAAGTCAATAATTACAAGCTGGCGTATATGTTATTATGGGTACCTGCCCACGCGTCATGGATATTTAAAATTCTATAATTAAGATCAGATCAGAGACAGAGAGAGCGTTTCAAAGTATTAAACTGCACATCCTGGAGCCAATGTAAAGTGTCAGGGTGTGTGAGCATGTCTTTAAAAAGGACTAAATACATAAACACACACACAATTTTTTACCTTCACTCCACTGGCTGCCATCCAAGAGCTCCCAGCCGCCAGTTTGGCCTCAGTGGTTAATGGGTTTGTGGTCATGTTTTAAATGCACTGAATATGGAGAATACATCTGACATTCTCAGTGTTAAGCTGAAGATGGTTTTGATTGCGGTAATAATTAAGTGATGATGTCTTTGTTGTCTGAAAGACAGTGCTTTTGTTTTCATTGGACATGAGCGGCAGGCGTATATTGTGGCCTGAAGGCCTAGCGTAGCAGGCTAATTCATGAGACTTGCAATGTGAAACCAGACATAGCTACTATTTTAGTGAACTGTGTATATTTGGAGCCATTTCTTGGCTAGTTTTTGGTTTCCTAAACTATATGCTAAGTGTTCCTCTCCCTGTGTAATTTATATCCATACAGAGCAAGTTAGTATTTGAAAGATGTTTGTGATCATTCTGACGAAGAAAAAAAAAAGAATCGTACACGCTGCTGCACTTGCGAACATGCCGCATACTCTTGGAGAGGAAAAAAATTGATGGCATCCCACCCAAGCATTTTATTATTTCTGAAAGGCAGGGCATATAGAAAAATATAAGTTGGCAGTCTGGCTCTCGTAATGAAGGGGTTGATCAGGCACGGCTCCAGTGCAGACATTTGAAGATATGCCTTGGCCATCGTGCCACCGAAACCAGTAATACAGCATGTCACAGGAATATAGAAAAGAGCAGTATGGTCCTTCATTTGCTGTCATGCGTGCTGTTTGTACCTGCACACTTGTCAGAACTCCAGTTTTGCGACGCATTTGTTGAGTGGAGTTGACATGCCATAAACAAACTCATACTTGCTGTCCTTAGCCAAAACCTTGTCCTCGGTTTTTTTTGTTTTTGTTTTTTTTTTATTATTTGTTTAATAGGCTTTATGTAACATTGTTTGTACTTTTAAAATGGCACACATTTACATAATTATTTTATTAAAGTCTTATTTTGTTTCATCAAGTTTCCTTAAATTTTGAAAACCTGATTTTTATGGCTATTTTTATTTAAAAACTTAAATGTAAATATTTTGCATGGCCAACAACTTTTCTCCTTATATTTTATTTCTAAGACATTACAACTATTTTAATTAAAAGTAAAGCAGGCAAGACTTTGCAGTTACAATATAATTACAAATATAAATATATGCTGTGTATGCATT